ATATATATATATATAAATAGAATATATATATATAGAAAAATAAAATATATATATATATATATATATATAAATAGAATATATATATATATATATATATATATATATATATATCGAGAGAGACAGAGTGAGACAGTGAGAGAGAGATAGAGAGGGAGAAAGAGACAGAGAGACAAGGCGGATGAAAACAAAATAATGATAGGGAGTGAAATGCTTGCTTCCTGGATATCTTCCTGGACAGATCATTGAAAACTTCTAAGTATTGATATATGTGAAAATTCAACTTTCAAAGTACCAAAGAAATGTAAAAGAAAAAATGTAGTTAAAAGATATAGTCTTCATTCGCAGATGGAACGAATCAATATTTCTATAACATTTAGATAAAAACTAAAATGGGCAACGAACAAGATAAGCGGCGACAAACAGTTTTAGGATTATTTTGATTATTATTGAATGGGAGATAATCACACTAATAAATTTATGATCAGACACATAGATACGAAGCCTACTGTAGCTATCATAACATCCAGTCTGATAAGGTTATATCAAGCACATGCATCAAGGCCAAACGTAAAAGATTGTGATAGAAAACAAGGCAAACCTGAGGACGGGCCCCAGTTCGAAAAACCTTCAGTTCTAGTTACTCAGTCAGCTGAGATGCTCCCCGATTGACTGTGTTCACCAGTATCGAGATATGACTTCCATGTTCCCATGGTTGCTTCATTTTTCAAACTAAAGTTTAACTTTCTCATTACCCGGTCATGTTGCTTTTACTCTGCTCATGATTAAAGTCAAGCAATTGGCAAGCATATATATATGGCAGTGGATTTACTGCAGGCCATTATTATTATTAGCTATTATTATTATTATTATTAAACTACAGTTTTTTCAATATTAATATTCTCAAAGATACATGCCCCAGTGGATAAAAGCATTGGTTGAATCCAGTGACATGTCCGAATGAGTTGTGAGTTCAATATCTGGCTACAGCGGAGGTGAGAAAAACTTGGTTATATGAATTAAAGGGAGATAACTGCTATTGAGACATCCGGAAGAGACAAGTCCCGTGGAACTATAACAATCTACCTTGGTGGAATAAATAAAGGGTTCAGTTTGAAAAACCAATCACATGAAGAAGGCCGGAGCGTACAACGGCCGAAACGTCGTGAATATGGCAATGAAAATGCGGACAACAGTCCGAACAATGTAAATAGTGTAAATAATTACAATACCCTATCTCAGAAATATAGACGGATATTATCATTCAAATAAAGATAGAAATCATTTTCTGCCAACTGATCATATTTGTCGTTGATCTTTTGCCTAGTCTCTCAACATATACGTGTGCACACCATCCTGATTGTCCCTCATCAAAACGATCCATTTAGCATGGCACGATGTTCAATCGATTCGCAATTAACAAGAGCCGTCAATTTCATTCAATTTCTTGTCTACGTCCTAATCATATGGTAATCAGGTTGTAATCACATAATTGTTTATGCCCAATGCGCAGAAAATTCCCGAGAAAGTGGGCCGGTGATTGGTATGGCGGGCTGTTGTCAGTAGCGCTTGGATTTATAACAGGCTGTCATTTCCACAGAATCTGACCTTTGTACTAAAGACAAGGACAATTATAAGATGGAGGAAATCTGACGGAAATGATCTTTGTTGGTTAATCAGCATTTCAATAGGGAGAGGTGATCCGACCAACAGATGGCTGTGTCTTCAACTTGGTGATGAATATGTGAACGACAGATGGATTTGCTTCAAACAGAATACAATAGTGAATATGTTAATATGTTTGAGAAATTTCTGTTTCTTTAATAGCCTCTCTGCAGCTATAATGCTTGTGACAGATGTATCGGGAAAATGATGTATCAAATTTACTTATTTTCTGAATAACTGCCTGCTGCCGATTCACATCCACAGGTTGAATATTTTTATTTTACTTCTGCTATTTTCCTTGGCATATATAGTTATCGAATTGATACTAGGCAAACACTTAAGCCGGTAATAATAATATTTAATGTCTAAGATATGATCAGGTTCATATATTCATGTTCAGAAGATTGTTTTAGAAGGATTCAGAAACATCATAGCTAAATATATTTGTAGTGTTGATCAAGTCATATAGATGCTTACGAAAAAACTCCGTCTGATATAAGTCGTGATGAAATTAAAATACTTGCGAAACATTAAGAATCATTAACAATAAGTCATCTAAGAAATTCATAGACTATTACATCAAAGAGTATTTAGTTTAAGAAATAAAATGAACAGTGGACTAATTAATAATAATTCATTAAAGGGTTCGTTTGGAATTTCACTCATCTCAAGAAGGCCGGTGTGGACAACGGCCGAAACGTTATGAATATGGCAATGAAGATGAGGATAACAGTCCAAATAATGTAAGTAGTATGCAATAAATTTAATAAAAACAAGAGAAATAAAAATGGAAGCAAAAGTTATAGTAATGAAAATGCTTCAGCTATAAATTTCGAAGATGATTATATATTTGCTTCTCTTTTTCTTTTTCTTCCTTCTTTTTTCTTTCTTTTTTCTTTTTCCCGTTTCCTTTTTTCTTTCTTTATTTTTCTTTCTTCTTTCTTTTCTTTCATCCTTTTTCTTTCTTTCTTTTTTCTTCCTACCTTTTTCTCTCTTTCTTTTTTCTTCCTTCCTTTTTTCTCTCTTTCTTTTTTCTTTTCCATTTTCTTTTTTCTTTCTTTTTCTTTTTTCTTTCATCCTTTTTTCTTCCTTCCTTTTTTCTTTTACATTTTCTTTATTTTCTTTATTTTTCTTTCTTGTTTCTTTTTTTCTTTCTTTATTCTTTTTTCTTTCATCCTTTTTTCTCTCTTTCTTTTTTCTTTTCCATTTTTTCTTTCTTTCTTCTTCTTTCTTGTTTCTTTTTCTTTCTTCCTTTTTTCTTTCATTCTTTTTTCTTTCTTTCTCTTTTTTTTCTTTTATGATCTTCTCTTTTTTCTTTCGTTTTCTTTTAATTTCTCTTTCAGTTTAATTTCAGACTTTTATATATTTTAATCCAAATCCTCAAAAATTTTATATTTCCTTATACTCTCTCTATTTTAACTAATATTTTTATTTTCATTCTATTAACTATATTTTAATAGTTCTATTATGGAATTATAAATAGTAATGCACTATTTTGTTGCGCATAAAAATGCTTTAACTCATTTCAGAAACATTGGCCAGACGTTTTTCATCCTAACACGACTGACTTTTAATGTTTTAGCATTTTCATCTGCAGAAAAAAATACTTCAACATTTTTAAGAAACTATATTTTTATTTGAACATTTTTATTTTATTTTCGTTTCTTTCTTTTTGTTCCTGTTCCGTTTTGTAAATTTTACCATTCCTTATTTCTTCATTCTTTTGATTTTCCGTTATTTTTTTTTATTCCTACCTATTTTCCCGCCTCAATTTACTTCTTTCCATTTGCGCCCGTTTTCCACATTGCTATGTCTTTTCTGTATTCAAATTATTTTTTCGTATCTATTTACTGTTAGAAATCGCATCATGCTACGCACGGCCTGAACTTCTCGAGAAATCCTCACACATTCTTTCCGGCGACTCGGTACGCGCTGCAAGATCAGATTTGCCAATATGAAAGTCAACAGTGATAAAAGAGAAGCGCTGCTGAAACTCTTTTTGCTGTAAGAAATGTTACCAGTCAACGGGGGCAAAGTTTTGAGAACGGACCTTTACGCAATTGATTGTAACCCTTCAAAACAAAATCAAATCTAGGAATTCAACTGATAACATCTTCGTTATCAAAACACCAGCATGAGGGCAAAATAAAAAGAGATATCAAAAATAGAGACGATCTTCAAGAAAAAAAAATGCTACAAAAGCAATAAATGCTTCAATGTAAAGATGAGTAAGATGAAATGCAGAGAAATGTTTCAAAATATGACAGAACCAAATCAAAGTAATCTACAACTTCTTGAAAAATGGATCGTCTTTAATTTTCTTAGAGTCTTTAATTATCCAATTTTTGTTCTGAAAAACGAAATCTTAGTATGTCTATATGCTTTTGCCAAAACTTTTCAGTGGATCTATTATTTTCCTTTCGTTAAATATATATTCCGTAAAGAAAGAGGAAAAAGTTAATTTTTTCTCCAGAGAACTTCTAACTTGAATCATTGTGATAATTTTGAATATAAATGTTTTGACTCTGAGGGAATAGTCAATAACATTCCAGATACTGATCCGAAAACTAAAACGTTTCTTCACAAATTTTCTATTATCAACATATATATCTGTCGATACATCCTTCGCTGCTTGTCAAGTCTAAAGTCATTGGGAAGAGAAGAGTGTATTTTGTTTTTTCATGTCATCGGAGGAAAGCTGAAGAATGGAACAGCTGAAATGCTTTCATACCAAGTCTGCGAAAAACGGATTCAAATTTGAGAAGATTATTTGGAATTCTTGAAAATGTGCCAGGATTCTTTTAATTGACAATATTGTATTATTTCAGTATCTGTCTATATTTCTGAGATGAGGTATTATGTACACTATTTTCATTATTCGGACTATTGTCCTCATTTTTGTCACCATATTTATTACAACGTACTGGCGTTGGTTAGATCAAGTGACAGGAACCAAAGAGTGTGAGTTCTATACCCGGTTAAGGCAGTGGAGAACTTTCAGAGTGAAATTACCAGGAGATAACTGATAGCTGACATCCATTAAATATGGCACGTGGAACTAGAACAGTCTCCTCCAGTGAGCGAAATAAAGGGTTCAGTTCGACATTCCAACCACCTGAAGAGGGCTGGAGCATACAACGGCCGAAACGTTGTACTAAATATGGCGACAAAGATGAGGACAATAGTCCGAATAATGTAAATAGTGTACATTGAAATATTTTTTTTTTATTTTAAAAGCGAGTTGAAAATTGCGCCTCATAGACTCGTAAAGCACATTCACTTTATATATCTTGAGGTATTAACAACAGATTCAATTCATCCAACTAAAAATGAATTTACCTCTTATTCTTTTAATGATTCGTTTTCTATGTCGTATCAGCCCTTTGTAGAATCCTGTAAAATCATGAATTATTTTTAGATCGTAGGAATTTAATTTTTTAAAGAAAATAATGTGATACACGCCTTACTAATTAATCCATAGCCGGGGAGAGAAGAGGTGGATTTATATATTTCCAAAATTATTTGCGCATGGGCAAATATAGTGAACAAAGTTTACTGGATGGGAAAGCCTGAGAAAGCAGAATCTTTACTAAGGAGCAGGAACAAGAGAAATATAATCAGGAGGACAGTAGAAAGTCATTGACCTTGCATTTAAATCTTTGAAGATTAACGATGATTGAATTCATGGAGTCAGAAAAGAGTTCCACAATCAGGAAATGAGAGAAGGTAACTGTCAGGATAGAACTTACGATTTCAAATTTAATTATGCACAATCTTATGAATTTAATTTAATTATGCACAATCTTATGAATTTAAATGTAAATATTAATGGCTAAAACTAAAAATCTACTGTGTTTGCAAAGATTCCAGAAAAAAAAAAAGATCAAGTTTTGAAACTTTTGTTCAATCTTTTGTGTGCTGGGAAATTTTGAACATGCCTGATATATTTCAAAATGCATGAAAAAAATCTATATATTCAGTATCATATCTATTTCAACAATTCTATATTTAATGTTTTAAACGATTTGTTGAACTTTAAGTTCAAATTACATTACCAACTCTTCTTGAAACTAGTGTTGTTAATTATATTAATGGTTAATGTTTTATTTTAATTTAAATTTATTAATATTCTATAGAATAAAAGGAAACTAAATATAAATGTTGAATCGATTCCTGTAACTATAACGTTCTTGATTCGTTCAAATGTTCATTCTAGGTTGATTTAGAAAATCAGATATTGATTTGATCGTGGATTCACTCGATTCTTCGATAAAAAGAAAATATTTAAAAGTTTGAAACCATATAGCAAACATATATATCATGTTTTCCAGCATTCTAAAATTCTTTCAACTGATGATGTCTATATTAGGGCCTCGCGATGTAATATTTATGTGGATTTATTGATGATTAATCGCTGTCAAAGCGATTAACCTTGTCCCCAACTACATGTACCTAATTTGTATGACAGGGACCGTCAGAGAATTGCCTGATATCTCGTGTTGCAGCTTTCACACACTTGATTTGAAGAAATGCTATGGAAACTTTGCATAACACATATTATGATACAGATGATGCATTATTAACTTCGAGATTATAATCGTCGGTGTGGATGTCGCAACAATACATGACATGAAACGAGCGAGTTCAACTGCCAGTTAATAAAGTCTGTTTTCACTTTTTTGAAAGGAATGAATTCATTGTTCTTTCTTCCTAGCAATATTTTAAAAAAGTGTCTATTCAATGGATACATATATATATAAGTATCTAAATGATTGATATATTGCACAGTGGATAAAAGCGTTGGTTAGATCCAGTGACAGACCCAAAGAAGGTGAGTTCAATTCCTGGTTAAGGCAGTGGAGAACTTTCAGAGGGAAAATTAGCAGGAGATAACTGATAACTGACATCCATCAAACATGGCACGTGGAACTAGAACAGTCTACCCCAGTGATCGAAATAAATTCCTACCACCTGAAGAAGGCCGGAGCGTACAACGGCCGAAACGTTGTGACAAATATGGCGACAAAGATGAGGACAATAGTCCGACTAATGTAGATACTGATATAATGGAATATGCGTACACCTGTGTTTCCCCCTCACTGGAATATGATTGCTTGTCGTACCAAACATGTCCGTCATAAAAACAGACGGACGTGTAGGTACGACAGAGTCAAGAGACTTAGTCTGAGAGCTAAGTCTATAACGACGCCCATTGGACTACGACATTGATCTACACTTCTTACCTGCGACTACGACGCGTACCAGTCGATTACTGCTACCGTATTCTACTTGGTTATAGTAGCCACTTCGTTCAAATATATCCCTTTATACATGACTTCTTTAAAAATTGTTTACGTTAGGATACTAAAATGAGCATATATATAATGTGCGTGTATATTGGAATCTCCAGTCAATTTCGGCGTATGCGAGCCTAACCCTTCATATTAGACCTGAACCGACGGGTTAAAAAAACTTGCTTGCTAAAGGCTTGTGTAGCACCAACAACACTTGTCGAAAGCAAGTCTCCAAACAGACATCCTCTGGTTTTATCATCACGGATTTCAGCCTCTTCTGAATAATATAAAAATCTAAGGAAAATACCTGTGCTTAAAGACAACTCTCACCGGAATTAGATGCTTTGAGTTTTCTCTCTGGTAGACTAACTACCACTGAAACTGATCGAAGAGAGGTTCACGTGTTTTGTAACATTAGCACGAATGAAACAGAATCAATCAGAATTTGGAATCAGCTTGCCTATTCTACTTTCCTTGCACATATCAATGATCTTGAGCTGTACGGCTGACGATGGGCTATTTAAAGTTTGACCGGCACAGAAAACATAAAAGGAAAAAAAAAATAATATAGCAATGGCACCCCAGTGTATAAGTAGATAAGGAAAGTAAGTATAGTTAAACAATTTATCCTGCTTGTCTTCAGGAAAATTGAAGAAGAAAGATCAAGTGTTAATTGCTTTTCAATATAGTAAAACCAACTTATCACAACGTTTCGGCCGTTGGACGCTCCGGCCTTCTTCAGGTGTTTGGAATTTCGAACTTAACCCTTTATTTCGCTCACTGGGGTAGACTGTTCTATTTCCACGTGCCATGTTTAATGGATGTCAGTTATCAGTTATCGCCCATTAATTTCCCTCTGAAAGTTCTCCACTGCCTTAACCGGGTATTGAACTTACACTCTTTGGGTCCTGTCACATATGAGTAGCACTTGGGAAAAATGTTGTCTCGTTGGCACGTTCTGCTTTCGTTGGAAATACGGATTTTGAAATCTCCCAAGGCTGGAAATTGAGGTTTGGACATTTGCAATACAGGCATGTCAGCAAAACAATATTTC